CTAGCTGGTAGCATTTTCTCCCATCTTTCTACAGTTTCCAAGCCATTTATAAGACAGTCTGAAATATGTTATAGCATTTAATCTTATCCGTGTAACATGGCCTCTCGTACATAATTCAATGTGATCTGTTCCAGGTTTTACTTTTTATTCTTGCTACATACATGTATGTTTGTCGGTGTGTAGATGCTTTTCAGCGCTAAATAATTTGTTTTTGTCCATAAATATGAGTTAGTCACTGTCCAGTAGAGAGTGTGTGATATTTTGTCCCATAAAAAAGTGCCATTCTTATGTTTCTATGTACAATTGTAGTATAAGGTTATAACGTTACTGTACAAAAACTCTGGTATAAGAAATATGGTAAGTTGCATGTATATTAACTTTCTACAGTTTCCAAGCCATTTATAAGACAGTCTGAAATATGTTATAGCATTTAATCTTATCCGTGTAACATGGCCTCTCGTACATAATTCAATGTGATCTGTTCCAGGTTTTACTTTTTATTCTTGCTACAACACCAGGAGACTACGCTTTAACCTTCTTGTACCCAACTCCAAATGATATCCAGAGTAAGAATAAGACACTAATTTTAACCTTACACATCTTTGCTTACATATTACACAGGACAAAACTATAGTTACCCAGTCGGGTATTTTAGTCCACCTGTACTGCAATTGTAGGTATATATCATGGTATTTTACATTGACTGTACAACCTATGAAATGCTTCTCTGAGCTCAAAACTCCACATGGATGTCAGTGCAGGTAAATTTGGGGCTGTGCATGTATTTCTAACTTAAACAGAAATAACCTGGACTGGTCCTTTTACTGGATTTTAGCAATAAACCGATCCTACAGCACTATGTGACAGACATGTAGCCACTTTCTCATTGGTCAAACCCGCTAATTACCATGCTCCCATTGGTTGAGCTGCTAATTTGATTGCGATGGACAGTTGTGATTGGTCTATGCATAGGTCATGTTAATGAACGAAACCATACACTACGCTATGAAAACTGTATGCAAATGAATAAACTTATACATTATATAATGTGAAGGTCAAGGATATATGTTGTACATCTCCTCAACATCTCAAATGACTACTTAACCTTTCTGCATACAATCTTGACCTTCAACCCACTCCGCAGAAGGGTTTTAATGGAAGCGCCAAGGTTGTAAGCTACACATGTGTTTTACATTAGCTCTTGTATCGATTGTCTGGCCGAACCTCTTTAAAAATACTCCACTGCAGGAAACTCATTTTTCAGTCTCATATAGATAAAAGTTAGCCTGGGTGTCAGACCTTGCCAGGGCCAGTCTACAGGCTAGCTCCATGGCTAGCCTGGGTTCCAGACTGTTGCCAGGGTAGCTCCTTGGCCCCATGGCTAGCCTGGGTTCCAGACTGTCGCTAGGGTCAGTGTACAGGCTAGCTCCTTGGTAACATGACTAGGCTGGGTGTCAGACTGTTGTCATGACCAGTATGCAGGCTAGCTCCCCGTCCTCATGGGTAGCCTGGGTGCCAGACTTTGCCAAGGTCAGTGTACAAGGTAGCTCCACGGCTCCATGGCTAGCCTGGAGGCCAGACTATTATCAGGGTCAGTATACAGGCCAGCTCCATGGCCAACATGACCCCAAGGAAATTTATCATAGACTGTCCTCAGTTAAACCTGGCGAGAGATAATAAATTAGACCATGGGATCCAACTCTGGGATCGGGGCTTGTGGCTTCCCCCGGCCGAAGAGAGTACCGTGTCGCGCCGGAGTCTGGCATTCAGACTCTTCGGGTCCGTAGAAGATCCCCGCCGTCCAGTCAACTTGGCTCCCCGGTAGATTTTGCACGACGAGATTTTAATTAATATTTCAGCACGTCAATCAAAGACCTGCAGTGCAAAACTCCTACATGGCGTACCCCTACCACGAAGCCTAGTTAGAGACAAGATATTTGATAACTCGCTCAACTAATAGAACTATGTTTTGTGTGTTTTGTTGTCTCTTAAATCATGATTTTGCATTGTGCATCATTTTCTAATTGTAAAATCATGGACCACACGAATCCATGATTTTATTAAAGCAAAACAGGGTTATCTTTATGGTTGAATTATCAAATAATCTAGATGTACTTCTATGCGCTTAAGTCCAATTTTAATCGACTGTCTCGCGTAACTTAAGGGGGAGGGGGCTAGCACTTGGCGAGCGATTTTGGATTTGTTTTGAATGAAAGATTAGGCATATGTAGTGTGGCCGGAGAGTCTCTTCCCCCTACCCGGGATAATTGGCACTGTGAAGTCCCGCGCACGTCATACCTTATCGCGGCCCGCCGCTGCACAGAGCCGGTCTCTGCGTGGTTAAAATCTCGCGGCGAGCAAAATTACTCCTCCAGAACCGAAGGTGCGTAATGCATAAAGAACGCGTGGTGGGCGACTGAACACCCCCAACGATAAAGAGCTCACGTTTCTCAGTAACGAAGACAATAGATGCGTGTTTTTTTCTTCTCGACTTCTGCACGATTTGGACTGTTTTTGACTGCAGTGTACCGCCCCACCCCTCCCCAAAGATACGATCGCCTACCGACTGGTAGAATGTAGTGCAAGGGTGGAGGGATACAGGTGTAACAGGTTGTAACAGGGCACGGTGAGGTCGCAGTGCTGTATCTCGCCGCCCGTACGTGTATACCGTAGCTCCGCTGACTACCGGAGTCCTCCGAGAGATCGGCACCGTATCGACTGTCAAATCTCCTCGGGGTTAGGCACGCGGGAAACGCCGGGACAGGGATTTGACCATATGGCTTCGTGGTGTCGGTAAATTGCTCCAAGTTTTCTTACCATGTCAGCCCAGAAGGCTGCACGGGAACTGAAGAAGTGTAAGAGTGCCACTTTCCACATTGACGGATGCAGTTATGTGATAGGTAAGTCCTTTCCCTTTTACCTTAACAAAAAGCACGGTGTCAAGTTTACACAAAGTAGAATGATACAAAAACAACGCATTCACACGTCCATTACGTTGCGTTGGGTTAGATGTCACCGTCCTAGGACAAGCCATTATGGCACGATTGGGGTTTAAGACCCGGACTATCTTCCTCACTGTTAGCGAAATTAACCCTCTTTACATACGCTTTACCGTTGTTTAGCACGCTGATAGAATATGGAACCTAGATTAAATGTGTCGTGTGACCTTGCTCGTTTGAAGGGAGACTCACACAGAAATCAGGTAATGAAAATATGGTGCGCTGGCTGGGAACAAGGTTTGGTAATATGGGGTCATAACAACGCTTCCGTGTCAGCTACATCCGTAAACAATGTTGTATCGTGCAAAACAAGTGACGTAGAAAATTATGGAGAACGCCTGCACCATATTGGTGTAAAATCACTGCGATTTTAGCGTTGTGTGGTGCGCGGCTACAGAAGCTCAGTCTTTGAAATTCATCGCGCCAGCACGTCAAAGCTTGAAGAGGGAATGCGCTGCACATATATCCTAGAAGTTCGCACGCGAACTGTGCTGGGGAAAATGTAGCGAGTTGGAGGAAAGGTCATATGGCGGACCTACGTGTTTGTTTCTCCGGTTGACTGTTGTATCATCACACGAGGGTTTCGCCGTGGAATGTCCCGTGTTTACCAAACTTAACCCACCCCCCTCTAACACCAAATCTTGCGTGAGAGTAAGGAGAGGGGGGGGGGTGTCGGCTACTCTTATCAGTTTGAAACCCACCAGGCCTCTTATAGATACGTATAACATACTCTCCAAGCAGAGGTTTTAAGGCTTTGGCGTGTTTTGATCCGGCTCCTTTTTTTTGTATTGGTATTTTTTACGCAAGCATAACAGGTGGCAAATGGCAAATGGTAACTGTCATGCAAATGGTTGTTGCCTGTCCATTTTGATACTGTCTTTGCAGCCAACAAAAATCTGCTTGCAAATTTAGTTTAAATCTGTCATACTAGAAGCAAGTAAGCAAGGACCGTACAATGTTCTGATTGTTTCGTATCTCTTTGCTAAAGACTTCCCTTGTATTTTATAACAGTACTGCAATACAGGTTTATCTGATACTATGGTTTCGCTAAAGCCTTTATATCGTCTACACAATCGGGGATCGTTCAGAAATATCAATGTGTGCAATTTTTTTTCACGTGAGGGAAAACGATATCCAGTTTGAATAAAAATGCTTGAAGTAATTGTCTGCATTTTTTAGAGTGAATACTCCCGTACGAGGGAATTGTGTATTCAATAACGGTACATTCTGAATATCACAGTGAAGCTTCATTTTGGATTTTTAATTTCTTCTCCGCCTGTTACAGACGTATAAGCTAGGATACTGGTAAGGGGGTGGTACGTTTGATATCGTAAATGGTAGGGGGAACAGTTTTTAAAGGCACTCAATGCAATATCAGGACGACAAAAACAAAAATTATTCTGGATAAGAAAATCTTATATTTACTGCAATTTCTTAGCACGTTTTCATCATTATTTCATACTTGAAACGTTTTAAATAGCCCCAAAACAAGCTAAACGAGGAGTCTTTATTTTGGGGTACCACCAATAAATAATTAGAATCAGACTATGATACAAAACAAGCAACCGTTTCCTGTCAGCAACATTACATTTTTGCCTCACAGATTTTAGTATGCTATGGGATAGGGTTGATTCAACTTACTAAATTAAAATAATGACCAGAAAATTGACTTTGAAAATCCAATTTTAATGTCCTGAAGTTATATTAAATGGATTTTATGTAGACAGAAATTTAACGAAAAACTTTATATGTAATAATGTACAGTAGCATTCTTTCTTTACTATACATCGATACCGCCAAGCAATTAAGCTTTGTCGTCAATTTCAGTTCTGTCATGACGTCATAACCAAACGGTACATGCTATCTTTCTGAAGAAGTGGTCATTTGTCACCATGTCATCATGCATTCAAGTCCCTAACCCCATAGGGACAATTTCTGTTCGAACTAAAATACCAACACAACAATAGCCTGGCTTCTAACATTGTTTAAAAAACATTTTCGTAAAGGGTCAAATTGTTTTGTTTTTTTGTACTGTTGCGTTTAAAGAAGTAAGCCGCGTTGGTACAATGCTTGAAAATAAGGTCATTATTTCAGTGCCATTGTGATAGCTTTTACCAGGCTCGAAAGAGTGAAAAATGGCCGAATGAAACTATAGCGCGAAGAGGCAAGCATCTCGAAACACACACACAAACACAGACAGACACGCCAAAAACAATACCTCCATTTTTCAAAGGTCTGTCTGGATGCAATGTTTCAACGGAAGCAAACTCTGGCAAAAGAGACTTGATTATAGATAATCAATGGTCTTGTCTTTTTCTTTCACCCCATTTGCTTGTTATCTTAACCCTATCTCTCACTCACTCACCCTATCGTCTGAATCGTTATCTCCAGCTGTTGTTATCTGTGTGTTGCTGTGACCCAATTCTGAACGTCTTATAGAGCTCTGTAGCAACAGCAGGTCGTATGGGGAGGGGGCAGTACTAGAAGGGGGAGGGGAGGGGGGAAGTGGTTTATCTACTATTGTATCCTATTGTATCAATAACAGTGATTCTACTTCTACGCCTGAATTGGTTAATAGGGTTTTGGGCCAGGCACGGTTTTGGATTCTTGTGGACTATCCAGAACAATCCCTGTGCATGATTCGTAAAGATTTAACATTAAAAGTTTTACTGGTAAAATTTGACAGCTTTGTATTACAGCTTTTTACCCTCTCTTGGGACAGATAATACACACCACTGTAAAAGAAATCACTACCATACAAATACATTACAAATACGATCCGTTAAAAACGCTATCAAAATCGATGCCTATACCCTTCGAGGGTTTTAAATTAAGATCACAAATGAGTGCAGAAGGTGATTAGTGTGGAATTTCTGCGTCCTTTTGATACAGTTTCATTAGCAAATTGCTCTTTGGTGTAATTGAAAGAGGGGCTAAATTGTATCTGGTGCTCTATGGTAATCGCATTAAGGGCCACTAATGGGTTACGGACTCTTACGTAGTACGGTTTATTTCGGTCATTAGACGTCACCGGCTCTTATCGTAAAGAGATTGTCTGTTAAGTAACAGTGTCACAAATCCTGTTGGTGCTTCAGTGTGAGGTTGTTTTACAACTGTTTTCGCGTGTATTGAATGAATGAATGTCTTTATTTCAGGTATTTCACCCATAGGAATCAACGGTACAAACATAGAAACACAAACTATACATACAGCATATTATATACATTAAAAAAAAAAGGAATTTCTGTACTGACAGTCTGACATCAGAAGACATTGTATTATGCTGTTGTCGGTTTTGTTTAGCCTATCAAGAAAGGAGTAGCATAATTTTCTGCGTCTGGCATCAAATGTGTCAGTAGTATGGTGAACAAACATAGTACTTGCACTGTACACTATAGAGTTACAATGTGAATGTCACGGCCGCTATAGGCCTTGGTCACACTCGTACGATTGTCGTGCGATCGCAAACTAAGGGTATTTTGGGATAGTCGTGCATGTATATATGTGTCAAACAAAAAAAGTTCATTTGTCTAGAATTTTACCGAAGAGACTGCATTTCGGTAAAGTTCTAGACACAGTCTGGTTGAATATCTTACGAAAATCGCAAGACGATCTTCCGACAGACGTACAATTTGAATAGACGTCTTTTCTGTGTCATTCATTTTTCCATTGCTACACAACATTACAGTGCTAGTCTTTACCCCAGACGACCGTTTAACAATGTTAACTTTGCAATAAATTATACGGAGATAAAAACGACGTGGCAATCTTAAGTAATTGGGCATAAATACCGACTTATGTTTGCAGTAGCGACCTATAAAACGATTTGCTATGTCAAGCACAGGAAGTCCAAAAGGTTAGTCTCTTAAACGTAGACGTCAAGTCTTGTTTATTTTGGTCGTACAAGGTGTTAAGTCTCGGAACTTTGTCTGAGTGGCAGTGACAGCACTAGCTAGTCGCTTACGAAACGTGGTCACAGTGATGTATTGCAGTCGTAATAACTGCTAAGATTGATTGGTAAAGGGTTAATGCCCCGCCCCGAGGTGTATATGGTGAGATAATCCCTGGTCAGGTGCGATAACCACCGAATAAACCACCAAGTGAGCGTAGCGAATGGAGCCTTCTGATTGGTCGACGCCTTCTGGCTATATGATAATATATGTTCAATTCGAGTTGATTTATGTTAGGGCCTGGTCATGTTCATCGTCGTACGATCGAAAACCGAAGGCATTTATGGTCTTAAGACATTCGTGGACTTGTCGTACAATATTCAGCTGTCTATAATATGCTAAAAGAAGGCTGCCTTACTTAGAGAATACTGTCAGCGCTTGGTTCTGTCACAGTGTGCTTGAAAATTAATTAGACGACATCAAAAACGCACGTTGGCCTGCAAAGTATGTAGCCTCGCCTAATCTGTACAACTATACTTTACAGTGTCACAATTTATGTATTTAAAGCATTCGTATCCCTTATGTCATGACACTGGACAAAGCTGGTATTATAACTACATATGTTCAAACATCTACAACCCTGTCAATCAACTAAAACCCTATCTCCACCTACTCACTTCCAATCCTAGTTGCTTAGGACAAGATGCATAAAAACCTTCAACCAGCGCCACCCAAAACAATACTCCCGTCCCTGAAGTAACAACGTAGGATGATAGTCTATATAGACAGCTAGTAAACTAAAATAGATGTAGAAGAACTAGTATACTAAGTACAAAATTGATAAGAGTATTACATGTAGGTACCACACAGTGCACAGACACGCGTACGCGCAGAATTTCATGCCATTAATACACACAGCGCAGTTAGCACGCCATAACATGTACAAATCGGTATTCCAGACCAGGGCTCCACCGAGAGTGAAATTCTCCTATCAGGAAATCGTTTTGAAAT